TTCCACGTATCCTCACATGGTATCAGAACCAACGCTTATGAATTAAGCTGCATATCACCTTAGAAAAAACAACACAGCGGAATTAGATACTGATGATTCACCTTAGGGAAATACAAACTATTTGGTTTCATTTCAGTTTATTTTTTTTTTTGGCTTCTTTTATTTTGAGTTGATTCATGATACTTAGGGGTTGTTTGTTTACTTCTTAATAGTTTCATTAAAAGGTAACATTTGAATCGTTAAGAGGTGAATTTTGTTTGACAAATTTTTTTTGCCTCTTAATGGTTCTAAAACCCTTTGAATGATTTTGTATCATGGACCTCCCTTAACAATTAAGCGCACTAATTTCATCATAAACAATTACCAAACAATTATATTTCATTTCTCATTATATCATGAGAGTCTCTTAATCATGCACCAACTCATTTAACAACTGTCAAACAACCCCTTAGATTCATAAGTATGACTTATTTAGGGGGTTACCACATTAATTAACTTTTGGTATCATTTCTTTATGCTTATCTTCTTATCATTGACAATTTATTTATACTTCTCTATTGGTATAGACAAATTAAGGGAATGCATGTCTGAACTCCTAATTAATACTAGTTCTGATTTATATCCTTTGCTGAGAGGTTGTGCACGTCAAATTGCTTGCTCATTTCAGCGACATACATAATTAAAATTGAATCTATCCATTCTTTAGCTGTATCTTGTGGAACTGTATTCAGTTTTTGTGTTTATAATCTTATTCAGATCCCTTGGACACAAGTGAGCACATCAAGGCCACTTCTTCTAAGTGTTAAGCCCACACTTGTTCTTGTAGCTGTTGTAATGGGAGCGTATGTTCTCGTCTTGTATTCATCTTAAATCTCAACTTCTATATATATATATATATATATATATATATATATATATATATATATGCTCAAATTCTTTGGTTGGCTTTCTCCTTTTTCACAATGAGGCTACTCATCAAACTCTAAACAGTTCAAGTATACATCCTTATCACAGCTTTTCCTACATAGATTTTTCAACACTTTATTCCCTCACGACTCTGTCATTATGCATTCATATTTCTGTTTTTCTTCTGCTTTTTATGTATGGGTGTGTTTTGCATTCGGTTATGAAGATTTTGAAAACCCGGGAACTAACTATTCGTCTTTATTCATGATGAATGTCGTGAGAGGCATTCATGATAAAAGTAAATGCATAATATTAATGATTATTCATCATAAATAATACATAAAAATAGTTGGCTCCCAGGTTTTCTAAAACACTGATGTAAATCATAACTCATGTGAGCATCTTATGAAGTGCAGGCTTCTCCACTTCGTACTGTTGGGTTTCAATGCGCTCAACATACAAATCCTATGTTCCTTGTCTGGTGGCAGCAAATCAATTTTTTCTAAGCAGGAAAATTATCGCACCCTCTTGATGGTCGCAAGTCAGGTATAATTCATCCGCTAATAGTTTTATTTATTCTCAACTAGTCATGTCATGTCCCTCTTATTTTATCCAGTTCTGTTATGTCCAATCTAATCATATTTGCATACCAAACACTACTTAATTGTCGATTGGAGTTTTGGGAGAGTTTATTTCAGCAAAGACAGCTAAAATCGCAATCAGATATATGTTCTTTTGATTTCGTACAATCTTTTCTTGCTTTATTTGTAGAAATCTATTACAGTGTTGGTTGCAGTTGTGAATCAGCTCGGTGCTACCTTTGGTGCATCCGGCTTACTCGTCCTTCCCTGTATTGCGGCACATTTAAGCCAGGTTTAGCACCTCCTCTCTATCTATATTGTTTATAATTTATTTGTTTTATAAACCGGAAGTGTTCATGAAAATAATCTTCGACCCCTAGGAGCAGAGATAAGATATGTGGACATCTTATCCCACAACCTGCCTTTGTAAGAGATTTAATGGGTCATTTGGTTTGGTTTGGTCTATTTTCATCCATCAAGTTGTTGAATATATAGCGGTATCCGGTAGAACTTAGCCTCCCAGGAGATCTAGGGTTCAAACCTCAACAAAGGAGTGTGCATGAATATTTGTCGTATATAAATATTATATTATTTACAAAAAGTTGTTAAATTGCACCAGAAATAGAACTTGCGTGAAAGTAAGAGGAAATTGATCAAATTAGCCTTGTAAACGAACATCTTCACGTTTTAGCCAACTTTTTCTTGTTTAAACCCATATAGCCAAGATTTTGCACGTGTCTTTTTCATAACTTGCGAAATGTACTTTTTATTAATGGAATATATGTTGGTGTTTTCGCAAGCAGTTGTTCTCATTTCGCAAACTTGCCAATTTCACAAACCAACCCAAATAGAATCATATTTAATTCAGGAAAAAAATACCATTCACACGTTAAGAAAGAGATACTTGCAAAATATTGGCTATTTAGGTCAAATCGAAATTATTTTGGCTAAAAAGTGAAGATTTTAGTCCAAATGGGCTAGTTTGGCCAATTTTCCAAAACTAGCCTCGGAAGTAGGCATGGGAATGGRGTGGGAACCCCAATCCCGTCCCCGATCCCAATCTCCATTTCTATCCCCGCCGTAGAATAGGATCACATCCTGGTCCCCAACGGGGAATCAGGGTTTTTTTTCTCTGTTTATATGAGATATTTTTAATTAAATGTGTTAAACACCACACTAGATCGATAAGGGTGCTTGTTTGAATCTCACAATATTTCCAAAATTTAATTTTTATACAGTATCAAATATTCATATGTAAACAAAATCACAATATCGTACGTAATTGTTTGATCAAAAAGGACATGTAAGAAAAAATGTATATAAGAAGAAACGTAAAAATACTATTTCTAAAATTTAAAAGATATTAAATCTAAATTTTTATAAATATATTTAATAATAAACATATAATCGGGGATCGTGTTACCTGGCCCTAGCCTCATCCCCGATTTTTAACTTTTAGGAATCCCTGTCCCCAGTTTTTAGGGAATCCCTAGCCCCGTTGAGATAGGTACACCGGTTTTTCCAATGGGACAGATCCCATTCCCGTGCCTACTCGGAAGCACCAAATGACTTCAAGTTTTTGTAGGTCTTAGGTTGTGAGTTCGAGCTTCTTAAAGTTGTGGGGAAAATCCGTTGAAGCACCATATACATCTCAACTTTTCAAGTTTGTATTCTCTTTGTTATGTGGGTCCCATTTGTACCACTCACATGTCTGAGGTTTTCGTATTTTAGGTTGTCATCGACTCCTTTTTGGTAGGTTATTGGAACAAGAAGAAGGTAACAGCAATCCAAGAAACGGTTAAACCGCAAAAACTGATAGAACCAAATCAAGATGGACCATTTTTACCGATTCAACGGACGTTTTCAGTTTGAAAAATAGTCAAATCACACAGTTTGGTTTGATTGTCGTAGTTAAAGTGTCTAAGTACCAACAATCATTTATTGTTTGTATGAGCAATCAAATCATATTGTATTGAATTTTTTTTATGTGAAATGAATGATTAATATGCCTTGCATAGGAATTTAAAGTTTCTAGAATTTGTAGTATAGTTTCTTTACGTTGGACTTAGGATCATGTAAAGGTAAAAAAAAACCGAACATTTACGGCAAAAACATTGTGAAGGTTCGGCTTTTTTCTTTTACATTCATAGCAAAAACACAGAGGTTTAAATGCAGTGACTCCGGGTTATTTGCAAAGCATGTGATCGTCCTGGGATTAGTCGGCTCACATAGCGGGTTGGATATCCAGGTTAATAAAAAAACACTGTGAAGGTTACCTTCACAGCGTTTTGCTGTGAAGTTTCAAGTGTAAAAAAGTGATCTCACGAGTCTCACGAAAACATGTTGGTCTCACGTGAACTCAACTCTATATATATGTATACATATACATATATATATATATATATACATATACATATACATATATAGGGAGTCATTCAAAAGAGAACTGGTTAGTTTGTGATAATCGTAAGATCCAATTTTAACCACAAATTAATGGATAAATTAGGAAATTGATAATTATGTAAATTTTGAATTAAAATTTTAATTAAAGGGCATTTTGATTATTTTAAAACTCTCCTCTTTCCTCTCCCCTCTTCCGCCCTCCGATCAGAAACCCCCGACATCCAGTGAACTTATTCCGACGAACACCAAGATACACAATGTCATACCTAAAATTATCGACACTGTTAAAGAAAAGATACATACAAATGACATTTAGTGTGATACATATTGTGATACCTAAGAACTTCTAACAGTAAGACACAAACACAATGTGATACATATTGTGATACCCAAAAACTTTAATACACAAATTCATTATGATACTCATTGTGATATCACTATGCTACCGTCTTGAATATGGATTGAGACCAAATCTGATATGGGTTTTATATCAAACATAACCACTATGATACCCATATCAAGATTTGAAGAAAAGAAAGAAAGAAAAACAATAGCCTCAAACATAGGGTTCAAACCCGAAAAAGTTCTTATAAACATGGATCTGGAAACCAAGAAAAACTCATTTTTGAAACCAGAGAGGGGAGGAGGGTTTAGAAAACAGATCTATCTATATCGTCGTCATTATCTGCTCCGATAATGTAGTCCACGTTGGTATTTGATTTCAATGCATTTATGAATTCTTGGGTCCTTGGTCTTTGATTCCCAAACACGAATCTTCCTGTCCTGATGGCCGGTTATCGAGCAACCACCCACGTTTCCATCACCTCATCTCCTCCTTCCCCGCCGATTACCGATCTTTTTTTGACGACTCCTTTCCATGGCTGCCAGTAGAAATTGAGGGAAATGGAAAGAGCGAATTTTGTTTCTTTTGGTTTGATTAGTGATGAAAGATATGGAAATATTTGATGAATCTGGTATATGGAAAAATATAAACATGAATTGTAATTTTTTTACTGAATTACCCTTTATAATTATTTAAAATATAATAATTATTATTATCTTAAATGATTGGTTAATATTGGATCTTACGATTATCACAAATTAAACGGTTCTCATTTAATTAGGCATATATATAGAAATCACTTATGTAAAGAAATATATTTCGACTCTATTCTCTGCCTTGGGTACACGAAATTCATCTCGGGATAATCCAAATTCCTAAGTTAAAAAATCAAGAGCAAAACACTTCCATGTTGTGTTTTCTCGTATGCTCAAAAGGTGAATTCTATTTGTTCTCTTTTTTTATAGAGGGTAAGTGAATAAGACAGGAGATAAGAACTAGGTGTATATGTTTTAACAGTTTTGTTAAAAATACTTTTAAAAGACCACCGGATGACCTTAAACTACAGCCCCAGGTGGCGAACAGTCGACATCGAGGTGCCAAACCTTCTCGTCGATGTGAGCTCTTGGAGAAGATCAACATGTTATCCCTAGAGTAACTTTTAAGTCTAATATAATAAGTGTTTCTTCGTAGGAATGTCCACAAATTTGACATGACCCGATCAATTCGATCGAACACTAGCCATCTATTTTCATTTCTATAATATTCAACAATTATTTGAAATTATATATTCTATTTTTTAATATATTAATATTTAATTAGGTCATAAATTCGCATTGTAGTAAGTAAAGTCATCGAGTCTCGGTCAATAAATCTAGAAATTGTCGATTTTGACCAACCACCTTCAGTTTCATTCATCTATTTTTTTTATAGGTTGGTATTTTCATGTAGTTCCAAGATTTTGCACCTACTTGTATCAAAAAAAATTGTGTTTTTATATTTTCAAATACGTATTTAAAAAAAATATCAATCACATACGTAAACTTTCGCAACAGTCTTTGGAGTAAACTATGATTTTCATCTCTATGGTTTGTTAATAGTTCAATTTTTGTCCTTGTAATCTATAACTTATTCTATTTTTGTACTTGAACTAATTTCTATCTTTAAAGTACAAGGGACCAAAACAGTTGTTAACCATAATGACCGAAATAACAACAAATTTTAAATCATCAGGATTAAATAACAATGAATTACAAACTACAAAGACGAAAACCGCAATTTCTAAACCATGGGAACGGAAATCACAATTTTTAACAAACTACAAGGACGAAAAATGTAATTTACTCTGGTAATGGTTATGTTTTTTACATAAATGTAGATTTTAAGACGAGAAAATTAATCATCTTAATTGTTAATAATGATTTATGTTAATCAAACTTGGTTTTTAGCAATTAAAATTAAAAGTGGGGTTGGTTAATAACATCAACGTCAAAACTTATTTTTTTATATTTTTAATATTAAATTTAATTTGATTCCGACGTAAAATATTTTACGGTACATATATCATCAACTTTAAATAAAAATTCAAAATCATGATTAAGTGAATAGACATGTACTCCTCTTTTAAAGGAATCGATTAATTTATGCAAGTGACGTCGTATAGGAAGTTGAGTATGTCGATATTGCGTGTAAAAGTGAATTTTAAAAAATAAAATGTGAATATTTATTGAAAAACTTTTACTATTTAAAAACGATAAAATATATTTACAGTTTTACAGTTTTATTTACTACAAATATTTTATTTTTGGCCATGGACTACGGAATTAGTGGAAGTCAGATGTCAATGGTTGGTGAAGATGTGACAAACCCAAAACGTCATATTCTATTCTTCTCATAATTGAGAGGGAGATATATATAAATTAATACAACTTAATTAATTGAGATATTTATTAAAATAATAAAAATTTATTTATTATGATTTAAATATTTATAAAAAAATTATTATAGTTCATTAATTATAATCAATACTTTATATGGAAAATTACATCAAAATGAAACCAACTTGCACCTGATTCCTACTTTAAAGAACTAACTTTCAAAATTTTCATTTAGGGGTTTCTATTGAACTTTTTGTTTATTTAAGGGTTTGGTTGAGTTGTTAATGCTGACATCATCCAGATCTTTTATCAACTAAGATATTTCACGTCAATTTAATTTTTTATTTTAAAACTAATATTCCATGTCATATTAATTTTTTAGTTTTAAAATAAAAAATTAATATGACATGTAATATCTTAGTTGGGAAAAGATCTGGATGATGTCAGCATTAACAACTCAACCAAACCCTTAAATAAACAAAAAGTTCGAAAGAAACCCTTAAATGACAATTTTGAAAGTTGGTTCCTCAAAATAGGAATCAGGTGAAATTTGGTTCCATTTTGTTACAATTTTTCTTACTTTATATTAAAAAACAATCAAAACTTCTATCAAATCACAAATTCATCAAACTAAATAAACAGTTAAGATTAAATTGTATTGATTATACAAATATAAAAAATTATATAATAACTCTAACTTTTTCTCTATATATATTCTCTCAAAAATAAAATAAAAATAAAAATGTAAGACAATCAATCATTCATCCAATAAATAAAAAAATTAGCCACCTTTTTTTTCCTTGAAACGTCACGTATTCAAGTCGTAGGTGGATTCTTATAGGGGAGAAAAACTACACACAACAATTTTATATGTTTACGTAACAACAATAAATAATATTTTTATATTAAAATAAAACAATTAAAACTTGACTTCACAAATCATCATCATCATCATCTATAATTTCAAATACTTTCGAGCCTTAAAACAGTTGCATTTTGTCATTACAAACCAGTTATTAAAACGATATTGTTCGTTCAACGCTTGTTGATCAGTATTATCTCTTTCAAACTCTTAATATCCAATTGCATACATCGATACAAAATTCCCGTAAATAAGTTTCAACTATCAGATAGACTCGGTCGGTTAAATAAAAGAAATTATTATTGTAAAAATCATTAAATATAAATATTTAATTAAATATTATGTTTCTTATTCATTATATTTAAATATTCCAGCAACGTTACAAGAAAATCATGAGTTTATTAGTTATATAGTTAAATAACTGATATCTTTTTTTATTTACAACTGTAGACTAAAATCAATGATAACCATTCAAACTTTACATAAAATAATTATATGACATGCATAAACATGATTTATTTTTTTATTAAAACTATTTTCATTATGTTATAAATATAATATCTACATTGTAAGAAAATTTGTTTTATGGGATGTATATAATGTCTAAGTGTTCTAATAGAATAATTTACAGATAAACATGATAAATACCGTAGATCTTACCCAATAAGACCAATGATAGATAGTCTTACCCAAAAAGAGAGGGTGATAACTCTTACGCAATTAGAATAAATAAACTTACACGTCCTCCTCACATTTGATAAAGTTTGGACCCTTGACCTTCTAGGAGGCCAAAAACTCACATACTGTTAGGTCAAAGGTCCATTAATTGTGTTATTTATGTTTGTAAGTTCAATTAGATTAAAAATATCATAATTAAATTCTTTTAATAAACTTTTTTTAGTTTGTTAATTAT